AATATTTATAATTAAAAAGAAAAGTTCTAGCCTAAATGAAGGAATTGGCAAAATTAATTATCATTCTCATGTATCAATATTTAAGGATTAAATTATAAAAAGAAAGAATTAATAGGAATAACTTCTGGAGGTAATCACATTTTGGAGATTCAAGATATATCCAAGGTAGATATAAACTGATATCAATTTTTAGACTGCCTTTGATACTACACTTGAATTCTTTATATCACCACATTATTATGATTGGAGGTTAGAATTACCACACAGATTACTAGTCGAAGTTACTCTTATAACAATTATAACAAGAACAGGTAAATAATTAAAATTATCATTTTTAAAAGATTTCTATTGAACACTCTTGCAGTAGCTGCTTCTTAACTTTTTGCAATAAGAATTTAATTGTTTGCATTTTAGGATTCTAGAATTTCTTTTATAACATTCTAATAAAATGATGTACAGGAACTTTAAACTGGTATAGGGGATAGAACAATAGCGCTTTCAAAAAATCAAGAGTTTAAAGATGCAACAAATAGATCAATATCTTTGAATTGTGTGAAACATATAAAGAGTAATCGAATAGTGGAAGTCAAAGTAAATTGTTAATATATACAATTTTAGATTGAATAAGTATAATCATAAAGTATTGATTTTTCTGTTAGTATTTATTTAGATTCATAAATAGAATATGTAAGATTTAATATTTTATTGGGTACGGATCAATCATTATGGTCATCTTCTGTTTAAGCTGAAATTTTCAATCCTCCATAATATGGAAATGTTTATGGAAACTATGATATTTAAGCAGAGAAGCAACTTTTCTGATACCTTCAACATTCTTGAATTAAGATAGACTTCCCATATTCACTTATAGAGGTTAAAAATTTGATAAAAGTGCTAATGTAAGATGTTATGTAATTAATGGTCCTTAAACTCCTAATTTAAGATATCATTTATTTATATGTATGATAATTTTATCATACATTAGGCTTTTTTTGTTCAACCTTATTGTGCAGAGTTCTTTTCTTATTGCAATTACAATGGTGAATCTTTTGTTATTTGTAATAATAATCCAGATTTATTATAACGTGGATGGACGAAATCAGTCAAATCCTTAATGAATTTCACTTAAAAGAAATTA